CTGCAAGATATAGTTTTGCAGGTGTGACAATACAGAGAAGTTTTAATCAGCTATTACTTTAAGCTCTCTAACAAATTTTAAAGATTAGTTTTAGATCAGAAATTCTTATTGTTGGAAGGGATGAAGAAACACTACATGTTCCCAGGAATAGTGACACACACACACACACACATAAACACATAGACAAACACAGGTACATTCCCTGTGTTAAATAATTCTTGGGAGAGTCTGTTAAACAATGCCTTTGTATGATATTGAAAAGCAATGCCAACTGCCTTTTTGCCTTATTTCAACGTTTCGATACTGTTACTTAACACGTATCAAGAATAGGAAATATGCCGACTGAGTGAGGTACAATATTCCTATGGAAAATTAAACTCTATTTAGTAAGTTGATTACATCTTTGAACACGCTGAATGTTAGGCTGAAGTTTCTGTAGTTTTTTGAAGTACAGTAATGGCCACTAATATATATGTAAAGGATGAGCTGGAAACTTAAGGATCTTCAGAAATAAGGGTTAATTAGCTTGTATAGTAACTATCAACATATGAGGATTAGGATTGTGGATTTTGGGTATAAAAACAGATGCATTTGTATGAATGAGAGAGTTAGTTTTAATAACAAATTTGTATGACTGTGTGACTGAGTCTTTGGGAATAGAAAGGAGTGAAGAAACCAAAATTAGTGTTTATGATTATTGAGATGTACAGTTAAAGAATTAAGGGACACTATGGTTATAAATATTTTCAGAAGACAGAATAAAGAAATGGCTATTGAAATATAGTTGATATACAATATTGTTAGTTTCAGGTGTACTACATAGTGATTTGACATTTGCATACATTATGAAACGATCACCAAGATGTCTCTAACCATCTGTCCACATACAGAGTTATTACAGTATTACTGTCCATATTCCTTATGCTGTATATTGTATCCCCGTGGCTTATTTATTTCGTAAATGGAGGTTTTTACCTCTTATTCCCCTTCACCTATTTCACCCAGTCCCCACGTCCTCCCATCTGGCAACCATCCATTTTTTTTCTCTGTATCTGTTTGTTTTCAATTTGTTTTGTTTTCTAGATTCTATATGTAAGTGAAAGCGTGCAATGTTTGTCTTTCACTGTTAATTTCACTTAGCATACTACCCTTAAGATCCATCCATGTTGTTGCAAATGGCAAGGTTTCAGGGGTTTTTTTAAGGCTGAGTAACACTCCATTGCATATGTATGCCACATCTTCTTTATCCAGTCATCTGTGGATGGACATTTCAGTTGCTTCCATATCTTTGATACTGTAAATAATGCTGCAGTGAACATCGGGGTCATATAACTTTTTGGATTAGATTCAAATCAATAGAATCAAATGCAACAGAATATGACTGATCATATCGCAGTTCTATTTATAATTTTTTGAGGAATTTCCATACTGCTATCTATAGTGCCTGCACCAATTTACAATCCCAACAACAGTGCACGAGAGTTCCTCTTTCTCCACATCCTGGCCAACAACTGTTACTTGTTGTAAAAGACATAAATTCGTGACTTTCATGTCAAGTCTGACATGAGGAAAAGCATATTATTATGGCTGTAACCAGCGGGTGAAATAAACAAATTATTAAAAACTGTATACCTGTGGGGAACAAGATATGAGAATTTCCATTTTAAAATGTGCATTTTAATTACAGCCTTTTTAAAAATTAAAGTTAAAACAGATAATATGGGAGAATAGCAGAAAACTCTAGAGATAGTTGAAATACCCTGATTAATAAAAACCAAGAATTTGAAATTTGTATCTTCATTGATTGTATTAAGATGAGAACTCCATATTTTTGGTAACAATTATAAAACACAAGTTTTATAAACTTGTCTATTTTTCTAATAACTTATTTAGAAAATAATTTTGCATAGATATCTGAAAAGTAAAACTCTTGTTAGCTAATGCTATCATTAGTAAATAGGGATATTGATTATTTGATGTTTCCAAAATAATTTTCTGAACATGGTAAAAGTTTTATTAAGTATTAGCTGAGTGAATACTGATTGAATTAATTTAATCAAGACATATTAATTTGTGTATTTTTATTGAAATAATCTGCACAGTTGATTTCATTTGAATTTTATTCAGCATAAAATACTACAGTAAAATTGAAGTGTTATTAGGTTAAAAGTAAATATACCATTACGTTATTATCATGAAGGCTCTGGATCTAAAACCTAGTGTATTCCAGAAAAAGCAAAAGGCTAAATATGGATTTGATCAGTGTTCTTAATTAGTACTAGTGTCCAAGTAGACTAGATCAAAGCACATTATAGCCCTCATAGTCTCCTCCCACAAACCTCACACACAGATGCTAATTTCACCACAAAATTTGGAGGAAGGGCAGTATCTCCAGAGCAGGGAGGATGAGAGGAGGAGAAAACAGTAAAGATACTGTTTGCAAACGATACCCACAGTGCAATGATGGGTCACTTGCCACAGTCCAACATCAAGGCAGGAGACGCAGACAGTCTCTGGATGATAGAATCGCATAGGCCTTCTACCAATGAAGGGATGAGAGCAAGGATAGGCCAATTCTGGCTGGGCTTGAAAACTTCTAAAACATTGAGGGGGGGCTTCCCTGGTGGCGCAGTGGTTGAGAGTCCGCCTGCTGATGCAGGGGATGCGGGTTCGTGCCCCGGTCCGGGAAGATCCCACATGCCGCGGAGCAGCTGGGCCCGTGAGCCACGGCCGCTGAGCCTGCGCGTCCAGAGCCCGTGCTCCACAACGGGAGAGGCCACAACAGTGAGAGGCCCGCATACAGGAAAAAAAAAAAAAAAAAACATTGAGGGGCCCTCTTTAAGAAAAAAAGAATATACAATGGTGAATAAAAAACTGCTAGGTCCTTCTGATGGACTTAAGCTTCAGTTAAATCCTCCTCTGGGTAGGGAAATCTCAAGAACTGCCCTTTCAGACTGAAATAAATCATAATTTTGATTTTTTTTTACTTCCTCATCCACAATTAAATCATCTATTCATGATGTATAAATTATGTGCAGTTATTTACCAATTATTCTGAACTGGAAGTTCATCATCTATGTAATTGTATAAGTAGTAGTCCTGTTTTAGTCTCTAAGTTTGGTGCACAGATAAGATTACATAAATGCAAAAGTTAATATCTCTTGGAAACAACAGAATATTAGTTATTTTACTTTACTATATAGGCAATGACATTCAAAATGCTCTCTTCATCTGTTACAGAATTCACTACATACTGACATATGATAAATTTATGGATATAATCCTGTCTAATAATAGGTTATATATTTCTTGAGGAGTCAGATGCCCTGTCCAGATGCTGTGGTTTGCATTGATATCTTGTTTAATAATCACAACTTAATTAAGAAGTTATTTCTACTATGTAAAGGAAATAAAATGAAGCACGTAGAAATAACTTGTCAGAGGACATGCACGTTGGTAGTGGTGGAGCTTGAGTGTGATTAATGCCACCTGAGTGCAGAGTCTGCTCATCCTTTTCCAGTCCTGACCGTATCATGTATGTTGGTTTACCAGGGTACCACACATAGAGTGGACAGTGAATAAGTAACTGTCCCAGATATTTAACATTTATAACTTATTGTGGTTCTAGATAAAGAAAATATTCATCATGGAAGCTGTTTCAAATACAGGTTGACCCTTTCTCTTGTGGTCAATTTCTTGAGAAAAAGAGATTTTTCTCTTTTGTTATTTTGAGTCTAGTCACCCTGAGGCAGGAGACAGATGGGCCCCCAGGGCAAACGGTTTGAGTTCGTTCCTTGTGGACGGATACTCCAGCCGGGAGTAACAGGACAATTGAGAGAGGAGTCTGGGCCCTGCCCAGATAGACATAAGAGTCCACATATTCCTCATTCTTGAAGTCAGGAGACCTCCCCAACTACACATGCAGATGGAGTCACCCATGTCTTCCCATGGCCCCACTCTACCCCTATACACATCTACCATGATGCCTGTAGTACTTCTGTGCATTTATTTCTTAAACATTTATCTTTTTTTAAGTGGTCTGTAACAGCGGTCCCCAACCTTTTGGGCATCAGGGACCGGTTCCATGAAAGACAATTTTCCCATGGACAGGGGCCGGGTGGGGTGCAGGAATGGTTCAGGCGGCAATGCACGCGATGAGGAGCACCAGATGAAGCTTCACTCTCTTGCCCACCGCTCACCTCCTGCTGTGCTGCCAATACCGGTCCGAGGCCCAAGGGTTGGGGACCCCTGGTCTATAAAACTTACACCAAGGGCCATGTGAACCACTGTCACTCTATGTCCTCATACAGCGACTTAGTAAATGCTGCATTAGATAACTATTAATAACATGGCCTAAGAAATTGATTAGATACATAGAAAAGGGTCCAGGTTGAATTTGGGGGGAGTGGGAGGGTCTGAGACCAGGAGATGGAGTGAAGGTGAGTGAATGGGACACAGACAGAAGTTGGAACTTATCCAATGACCATCCCCACCCCCCATAAACTACAAAGGCATATAAAATATATATATATTTTTTTCTTTTCTATAAATACATTTGGAAGGTGGCTCCCAAGCCACTCTAACCCATTAAGCCCTGTCCTTATTAATCTTTTCTAAATAAAAAGGATGTTGCTGATGCCCAGTAATGTGGTGGGTAAACAGCTGTCTGGACTAGCCATTATCAGTCTAGTTCAAAGTAAAGGCTCTTCCTGGGGCCAGAAAGCAGGATTTTTAGAGGGCTGCAGTGGGCAGGAGGCAGGTCGCCAAGAATCAAACAAGGCAAAACAGACATGTGCAGTAGTCATGATCATGCTAGTAAGAACTAAGTGCCTCAGTGAGGCATGTACAGGAATTGGAGGGGGAAGGAGAGGCCTTCAAAACTTTTATGTGAGCACTCACTCCTGGTTTGAGAAACATAATAAAATGTCTGCCTGGGTAGTCATTATCAGGTAGATAGGAAGCTGGGCTGGGCTAGGAGGTGGAAGGGGCCTCCCTGCCCCTCAAGAGTTCCTGACCAGTGAGGAGTCCTCCATGCTCTCTGAGGGGGTGGGGGATCCAAAGATCCTGGCAAGAAGCCCTCTGTTGGAGCGGGCCTGGTCCTGAGCGTTAGCCAGGCGAGCCCGTTCACGTCCTCCTGGCCGAGCTGCCTTCCGGGCCCTCAGCTCCTGTTCAGTAGGACGCTGGGCAAAGGCCCAGGAGACGTTCGGGCGGGTAGAGTCCCCATCAGCGGCAAGGAAACGCTGTCCGCGCTCCACGCTTCGAAGATAGAAGTCAGTCTCACGCTTAGCCTGGGCAACCTCAGCCCTCAGGCGCTGCCTGCGTACCTGGCGCTCAAAAGCAAGATGCTCGCTGAGGTGGGACCAGGTAAAACGGTGCAGGTACTGCGGAAGGGAAAACAAGAAAAGATCTGAGGAGGGCAGATCTGGGATGGAGAGGAGATGGGGGGGCCGGGGCCAACAAGAGGTGACAGGGGTGCGCCGGCTGGGGCTGGGAAGACGGAAGGCTGAGCGGTGCGGCAGACAAGCCGATCCCCTCACCCTGAGGTTCCACAGGTCATAACGGAAGGGGCTGCGCCTGCGGGAGCCCATGGGCGTGTTGTGAAGACTGGCCGCCACACGCTTGGCTACTCGCTTGTCCCGGAACTCCACCCAGCCCTCGGTGTAGTCCTTGCTGTACTTGGACCGCTTTTTTCCTCCCGCAGCGGGGGCTGCCGCTGCCTTCTTCTTGCGCCTCACGAACCCGTCTGCGAAGCAAAGACAGAGCAGTGGTCAAGGAGGCCAATACAGCACCCACTCAACTGCACCTCCCATTCGCCGAATTCTCCAAACCTTCCCTCAGGCCAGAGTCCCAACCTCAACATCTTTGCCCGGAAGCGGATAACCGCAAAGTCCACCCTTTTCCCCTTGTCTAACTCAATCCTTTCCTCAAATGTTAACTCCTTTATCAGGTCTGCCCTAAACGCTCTCTTTAAAACCCGCACAGGCCCCCAACCCCAATTCCAGTTAGTGTCTGTCTGTATGCGAGCTGGGGACGGCCGATCATAAACCTTCTCTTGACCTGGGCCGCGATGACAAAGAGATACGTTCAGTTTTGTGGGAAAACCACTGAGATTTTAATTCAGGCTGTACTCATTTAACAAACTGGTAAATTCGGCTCAGGAAAGATGGGCGGGCGGAGCCGAAATTAAAATCCAAAAATTAGCTATCCGAGAACTAAGGCTCAGGGAGGTATATACTGCGCTATCCACATCCCATCGCCGCCTCCTAAGTGGCATGCGCGCTACCGATTTACCAAAGAAGCCGGACGCTGGTCCCCGGCTCCGTCAGCGCCTCGGACCAGGGCAAGCTGAGGCAACAGGGCATGCATTGCGTGCTCACTGCCAGCGAGCATCACCCTCCTACCCTCACCGCCAAGGCCTGAGCACTTACCTTCCGGCTGGAAAAAAACGCGCCCGACCTCGCCGTAGGCGCTGAGAAGGTTCCGTACGTGCAAAGGCCTAAAGCGGGGCGGTATGTGGCCCAGGTACACAATACCTGGCACTACCCGTTTCTTGCTGCCGCCAGCCGCCCCTTCGGATTCCTCCTGTTCCTCTTCTGCCTCTGATTTCTGTTCACTCCCTTCCAGAGGTTCCAGCTCAGCAACTCCCGTCTCGGATTCCTCTGCCTCCATGCTTGCGGGTAGGTAAAGCAGGGCAGCCGTAAAGCGCCGCGCCTCTGACGCGCACCTTGTGCGACTGCCTGTGTCGAGGGGGCGGGGTCGGTCCGGGTGACGACAAAGGAAAGGACAAGATTGGGCGGTGCCCGCGAGTCTAGGCCTAGAGGAGAGAGCGGAAGTGGGCCCCGGTTGTGCCGGGAGATTCAAAGCGTGAGAGTACTTGAGCTGATGAGGCAGAACCGGAGAGGTAGAGCTCCAAGTATAACTTACCCTATAGCACTCCTCGGTGAGATGCAGAAGGACGGGATGAGGCAGGCTCTTCCGGAAATTTTGGAGAACTATTTTTGGGAGTGAGGGGAGGTTTCTTTGTGTTCTAGCGGTCAAAATAGCATTTTACCCAAGGGACTCGGCTGAGACTCGAGGTTGGGGGATGGCTCAACTTTTAAAGGTTACTTAAATTTCAATTTTTAAATTAAGTTTGAAATTTTAATTATTTTTCAAAATTTAACTTAGACATTTGAATATTTTACATTTAAGTTTTGAAAATGTAATTTAACTTTGCAAATATAAGTTTTGGAAATTTAGTTGAGATTTAATTTTTGAAAATTTCATCTGTGACCTTTTCATTTAGTTAAAAAATTTTTAGTTTAAAATATTAATTTAAAATTTGATTTTGTGAATAAAATGTCTAAAAAATTTTAATGTTTGACAATTACTTCTTTTAAAAACTTATTTGGCGCCTGTTTTACATTTGTGTTGATGCATGGATTCGTATTTATACTTATGTTATAAATACCTGTTGTCAAATGTATACGTGGCCTTGATTTAGGCGACTGCCTGTACCGCGAGCTTTATTCTCTCCAGGACTTGTTTTCACAGTGTTGGGGTCCAGGGTAGGCCACCCAAAAATATGCCTCAATGGCGTACTCGTTATTTTGAATTAAAGGTACCGAAGAAATGGTCACCACAAGAGGACACTGACTCACTGTCTCGCTGAAGCAACCTTTGTTGACAGGCTCTTGGGCGTACCTGAGGATCGCTTGTGTGTTTATACACTCATTCCCACAAGATCTGAGCACAAATGACTGTTCACTGTTCAATTTTTCTATCGTGTTCAGGCCTGCAGTGTCAATGACTACCTTTCAAAAAGGAAGTCTTTCGAGCTGGGCTTGAACCAGCGACCTAAGGATGGCCGATGATCGAATACCTACAGTCCTCCGCTCTACCAGCTGAGCTATCGAAGGGCCCGTGAGAGAAAAGTCTTAGAATACTTTAAATAATCTTTACCTCAATCCTGTAGTTTTGTTTTGACTATACGTTTATTTCAAAAGTAGAAGCAAACATGAAGGGTGCTAGAAATATTCTAAAACTGATATGGGTAGTGATTATAGGAGTATACTAAAAAATTAATGCCCTTGAACAATAAAGAGTTGTGCTTTAATTCATTATCCTGTGCCCTTGGATACAATACAGATAGGACCATCACCCTTGACACTCCTGCTGTCTCATCAGCTTAGCGCCTCCTTTCTCAATCAGAAGTGAGCCATAAATGAAAGGGTTTTCCTAAATTGGTTGAAGAAGGAGCTATTATCTTGAAGCGGAGTTACTGTCCAGTTTATTCTTTTGGACCGGAAGGAGTTCACTCACTCTATGTGTATGTTTGATTTGTTTCGGTCTACAATTTTCAAAATTCTTGTCCTCCGAGCCGGATTCAAACCAGCGACCTGAAGATATCTAAGGGTTAGTATCTACAGTCCTCCGCTCTACCAACTGAGCTATCGAAGGACCACTAATGGGCATTATTTTAGAATCCCAATCCTAATGTCTATCCAGATGGTTTCCGCTTTGATAATATTCATATTCACTTTTGAAAGTATAATCAAATTTAAGCAGTCTTTTAAGGCACTGAATGGGTTCTATGTCATGATCTGGGTAGTTGGTTTCCTGGGTTTAATAAACATGTAAAATCCATTGAGTTGTACATTTAAGACGTTAGGATATTGTTCTGTGTATATCTCAAAACAACAACCCTACCGGTATCCCATGCCCTCCTCCCTAAGCATTATATACCTAGGGTGAATTCCCTGGATTACGCCCGATTTCCTGCTGTCCCCTCTAATTACTTTCTCCTTTTTCTCTCAAAAGTGTCTAGGTTGGCTCGATAAATGATATAATTACGTAAACACAGACATTTGGGTTGAAGAGGATCCCAAAGTTGTGAAAAGAGCATATCCAGTGCATTTTGGTATCATTGTGATTCTCCTTTCTGAAAATCTAATGGGAAATCGTGTGTATTCATAGCTCTAATGATGAAATATGTGGAGTGTGTGTGTGTGTGTGAATTTTCTTACTTGGATAAATAATTTGGGTGGTTCATATTATATTGCATAATTATTGTGGAGCAATTAAAGTGAAACAAAAACCCCTAAAATTTAAATGCAAATATATTCTTTTTTCAAAGAAAATCATCAAACATCGAGGTTCAACAGAGATTGCCTTACACTTGTGCCTAAAGCAGAAATAGACACAAATGGAGAATACACTAAATTATCTGGAGAGAAAAGGCTTTCTTTGGAAATATGCTTAAGGAAAAGATTAAGTGTATTTCTCTATAAAATATCTGTGCTTATTTCTACAAACTTATACAAAACTATTATTTCTACAAAATGATATTATTAAAAAGAATTCCAAAAAATTTTTTTTCAAATGGCAATTGCCAATGCATTCTATTAGGGGTACTGAGAGGACGTAGTCGATATTGAACTCAGTAATTAAATCCCTTTCCATGACAAACCAAGAAAATATCATCTAGCAACTTTCAGTGTTCCTGACCTAATAGAGAATTAACAGCGGGAGAAGAGAGATTGTAGGACGTGGAGTTTCTCTTTCATTGTCAAGTGTCCTCCTATCTGTGCCTTGAATACAAGGTGGAAAATAGCGGAGATGCCAACAAGTGTAAAATTTCAGCATGGTGCTGGATTCAGTTGCTGCTACAGAATTGTCGTCTCTTGGGATGCAGAAGTCTTCCTGGGATGATACTTAGAGGAACAGGAAGCTCTCCGAAAGGAAACAGAAAAGACAAGTCCACCTTTCCTCTTCCTCCTCCAGCCTTGCATTCTCCCTCTAGCTTCCTTTTTGGCAAAGCCTAATATGGAGCCACGTAGTAAATCAGCAGTGTGGTTTACCTCCTTTATCACAAGGCAGATTAAAGAAGGATGAGTGTCGTAGTCTGCCCTGGCTGATGTGACAAAATACCACAGACTAGGTGGCTTAAATAACATTTATTTTCTCACAGTTCTGGAGGCTGGGATGTCCAAGATCAAGATGACAGCCATTTAATTCCCAGTGAGAGCTCTCTTCCTGACTTGAGAGAACTCTCTGGTGTTTCCCATTATGAGAATAGTAATCCTATGGGATCAGGACCCCACCCTAAGGACTGCATTAACCTTAATTACTTTCCAATTTTGAATACAGTCACATTTGGATTTTGGAAGAACACAATGCAGTCCAGAACAGTGAGCTTAAAGTTGAGTCAGTAGTTTAACAACTGGGAAAACTTCCATGTGAATTTTAAGATATTATTTTTGATCTTCATTTTACCTCTGTGCAAGCTAAGCTGTTGAAATTTTAATACCTAATCCAATGTATTGGAAACTAGAACTCCCAGCTCATGGTTGAAAGCCCCCAGTTGCTCCCAGTTCACAGTCAGTCATCCCAAAGCTTAATCCATGGATCTGAGCTATGGAATTAGTCCACTTTCTTTCACTCCAGTTCCACACTTGCACCCCTAATAGAATCATGGAAAATAAATGGAGAAAAAAAATGAGTGGAGGCCAAACTGACTTCTGTAGCTGGGTAAATTCTGTCCAAGGAGAAGTGAGGAGAGAATACCCAGATGGTGGAGAGAATCAAGGCAAGGCTGACCTTGAGCCAAGTTTTGAGATGAATGGTGGGTTTCTACACACCCACTTAGAACACCTGAGTTTTGAACTCTTTTGTCTCAAATGGAGGGGGTGCAGGAAGGTGGAGGATTTCTTCCCACAGAAAGTTATTCACTTTTTTTTGTCAGCCCTGACTACAATGAAAAAGAAAAGAGAAGAGCAAGCATTAAGAGCATTAAAAGAGTCCTGGAAAGGCCTGCGCAGCGTGCCTGCACAGCATAAGGACATAGAGTCACTTTCTTAAGTAAAATGTTTCATCTCCATTTCATCACTTTGTCCCAATTTCATTGAGACTAGAAAATAACATTAAACCAAAAAAAAAAATGTTTCTAATGATGGAATTTCAGACAAAGAACCAGTTGACAGGAAGGGTCTTCCCATGGCTTTCCTGCAAGTGATGGGTCTCTGGCAATGCTCAAGAGTTCTCCTCTGAAGAACTAGCTCTGTGAAGTACCGAGCACCTAAGCACAGTACCTGGTACCTAGTACTCCACAGGCCCAGAAGAAAAAGAGGCGACTACTACTTCCGGTTTTTTGCAAGGGATCCAGATCTAAGCATGCAGCCATGATTATATTCACTTCTCCTATTAGTGTTTACCTTAGAAAAATAACTTGTACACCCTTGATCGAAATCGGGACTACGAAGCCAGAATGAAGGGAGAAAATAACTGGGACGCACACCCCCTCATGACCTTGTGTCCACCGACGGTGGTTTTTATCCATAAAAAAAGCCAGACAGAAAGCAGATTAGGGGACATTCGTAGGAACTCTGGAGAATCTGTTTCTGGTGCTAGCAGAATCAATTGGTGGAAAATTTAGGAGTGCGGGGACTGGCAGGAACTATTGGGATGGCCAAAAGCCGAGTCTCACTGCCTGAGAAACTTGATTTGCCCTCCTGGATGTACCTACAATTTCCTTCCGGTCCCCGGTTTCCGTAGATATGATTCCAGTGTTAAACTCTTGCCCAATTTCGAAGACAGGTGTTTCTATGGATTCCACGCCCTGGTCCACCTGCACTCTGCTGTCTTCTCTCAACAGGATCCAGTACCGTAGAACAGATTATAGGTGGCGCCCC